CGCAGACTGGCTGATCTGACTGTGGAGGAAATGCAGCACTTTGAAGAGAGCATGGCCCGTCTGGCTCTTGCAGACCACTGTGAGGTTCAGCCAGTAAGTGATTTATGGTTATTATTGTGACCTTTGAGCTTATTTCACTTTGATAAAAATGTTTAAATTGGAGGTCTCTTTCTTTTCTTTAAAACACTGTTTCCCACATCAGTGTCCTCAGTGTAAAACAGATGTAGAGAGGAAGAATCTGTCCAACCTGTGTGTCCAGTGTGTCGTATGCACAGCTGATCAGAAGAAGAAATACCAGTTCTGCTGGCAGTGTCTGAAACCATGGAAGGGTTCAGGCCTTCGATCTGACCGCTGTGACAACGACGGCTGTGAGAACAAGGACCTGCAACTCATGCAGACATGCAAAACCATCAGTCTGCCTGAGGTGGAGGGCGTCACCAGCTGCCCCTCCATCAGACTCTGTCCTACATGTGGCCTGAGGGTGGAGCATAACAGAAAATACTGCAAAAATATCAAATGTCCTCGCTGCAAAATGGAGTTCTGTTTTGTCTGCCTGAAACTAAAGCGTGAATGTTCACAGACCAGTTCACCATACAGAATGTGCCCCAGTGGGGTCGCGCCAAGGCAGACCTCCATCCCTGTGTGGAGGAAAACATGAAAACAAGACAAATGAACAATTTAAGATAATGTTTATATTTTCCTTCAACGTTTTAACAATTGTTGATATAAAAAAAAAACTATGTTGTGTAACTCAGCTCCAAAAGACACACCTCTATTTTGTCAGCCTTTGTTTCTCTGCCTCCTACTGGCTGAACTTTAAATTGCACAACAAGAGACGGTTTGTTCTCTTCTGTAAGTCACTAACTGTGCAGAGAGATCATTATACATCTTTTACTCAAACATGTCTTTGAATATGAAATATGAATAAATTTTTATCAGCACTCAGTTTATTACAAATGAAATCTTAGCATCATGCATCAGGTCTTCTTGTGAGACAAAATGTTAACCTGTAGTTTAAGCGCAATGTGAAAAATAAAGAACTCATAAAAAGTGCTGTATTTCTTCTGTTTTGTATCAACATGCACATAGTGGATCAGTAGCTCCTAAATTATAAGCATTAAACAAAATGATTGATTAGAAAGAAATCAAAGGAGAGCTTTATATTATATTAGTGATTGATGAGTAAAAATCAGGATCACTGGATATTATTTATACAAGTTAGCACTTGTATTTCATAGAGGCAACAAAATTATCCATTATAGAGATTCTGAATTGGTAAATTCTGTTGTCCAATCTTGTGCACAGAAATATTCATAACATCACTTTTTCTCAGAAGAAACTAACCGATCTTAAACAAGCCAGCCTAGAACAAAGAACATCAGACTGCCTGACTTTGCTTCTGTGGTTTGTTCACCATCATATAATCTTGTTGTGTCTTTACACTTAACACCTTCTTCCCATGATGGTTTTTCTCCTTTGGACAAATTTATCACCTTCCTTTCCTCACCTCTTTTTTCACTTCCCTGGTCCGTCTCTCTTGCAGCTGTT